CAAGCCCGAGAAAGGGTACTAGTACTCTCGTGCGGCCTAGTTGTCCTTTTGAAAGGTAAGTTAAGGAATGAACAGCGATGAAACTGGTTGCAGTTTGACTCTAATCATCATTTGCAGGTGCCATTTGTCCGTTCCTTTTTCTGGCTTCAGTATTTGGAATTTCAGGCGAAATCCATTCGTCCAGGACAGCAAGGACAAAGATCCTAGAAGTCACCCTCCTTTGGGCGGTTGGACCATCACATCTTGGAATTGCCAATCTTAGGCGACTCTCTTTTGAGGGTCATGCATCAAAACCCATCCTTATATGGATGGTAGTGGTTTCTCTTTTTGTAGTGGTGTCCCACTGCGGGGTTCCGCGGATTGGGGACATCGGATGCAGAACCAGATTTTCAACAACCCAGTTGAAGCGAACGCAAAATAGTCCTACAGTGATTGAGTGGCACAGGGGGGTCATTGTAGCCAGTGGTCATGAATATTGTGGCTGCTTTGCGAGCCTCGCCCGCCTGTCGCTTTAGTGGGGGTCTGGGTGGGACTTGGACTTGCGAGTGCTCACTTTGTTTTTGCGTTTTTCCGCGGTTGGAAGAAACACATGTCTTTTAAAGCAGTGACAGGATTCTGAATCAAAACAAATGTATTGCAACCCCCCGGCCTTGAAAGCGTCCCCAACATGATTAGCCAGTGAAGTTTACCAGGGGGGCATTGAGGGCGCCAGCTCCCTTGAAAGTCGGCTCGGAGTCATTGGGATGGACTCCTGGAGGAGGACTCCTCCTTTGCCAGCATGGAAGACATGCTGAGAAGGCCGGGCCCGGTGGCTGGGTGCAGCTGCCCTACTCAGGGCGCACAGGACTTGTTCGTGAGGTGAGATGATGTTTTTGTTTTTGCACGGATGCTGATTTGAAGGAATATGGACATATGCTTGAAATAGAAAGTTGTCCCACAAAGCATTGCGTTCTTGGGTGTGACAAATTCATCCGTTTTTGTTGCTCCTGTAGCAAAATCCCCTTTGCCAGCTGAATTAGAAGTATCCTTTAAGAAATTCTGCATATTGGGTACTTGCTGTAGCCACTGCAAAACAACTATAGCAGCGGACGTATTGAACCCCTGGGTCCCAGCGGCTTGGGGCTAGTGCAGGCCATCTTAGAGTTGTTAACTTCGCATTGGTTTGTCGGAATTCCTTCGACAAAGTTGTCAACAGGCACCACGAAGAGATCGCGGCTGTCATCATTGAGCCGGTGGTGCAGGGGGCCGGAGGCATGCGGATTTACAACCCATCATACCTGGTGAAGCTGAGGACTGGGGGGAATCCCGGGGGCCAAGGAACCACTTTTTGTCAGCAAAGTGGAACTGGTTCAGATTCAAAGGTGAAATTTGAGCAAAACACTGCGGGAGTTTGGGGCAGTAGTTCTTGACTTTCCAAAATCGGAAGCCAAAAGGGTTTGCCGTTTGTTTCCGAGGTTCATTCTGGGGATGTTTGGGGGTGCTTGTGAGGAGACTTTGTGATGAGCTGGACGTGCTGCTGATCTTTGATGAGACCCAGTTGCACGGTGGCACCCATGTTTCAACGTGTTTGTGGGAAGAATATCCCGTTTGAAATCAAATACGTAAAAAGGGGTGCTGCTTTTTCCCACGCAAACTCCACTGGGTTGAGGAGATTGCAACCGGCTTCGGGCGCACGGGCAAGCTCTTCGCAGCTGAGCATGCCGGGATTTCGCCGGACATTATGTGCATTGGCAAGGCGCGCTTTCGTTTCCACAGAAACGGTTGGCAGTCAGTCGAAGGGTTTCTAGATTACAACCCTGACTTCGCCAGTGCGCCCTTGGCAAATGACCCCAGGCGATTGAGCAACCATGGGCGTACTCGTCCGGGGTTAACATCAAATGCTCCCAAGTAGTTCAAACAAAGTTGGCTTCATTTGATAATAACCCCAGAGGTAGTTTCCCAGGTATGATCCCAGGGTGTAGTACAGTCACGTATTTGCAGTTTTCAAGGCACTTTCTGTCACCTGCCTCTTAGTCAAAGGAGGCCACCCGTCAACCTTAAGAGCTGCGTTATCGAGTGTTTCGTGACGGATCGGTCACGGCAATTTGGGCTGAAGGGCTGGAGCCTGGCCATCAATTCAACTGGTAACTGGTGCTTTCCCCACCCGTTCATTCCAGTAGCGTCCACCCTGTTTTTTCGTCTGTTGGAGGCACTCACTGGGGGCTACTGCACTCTGGGCGCGACGCTCGCCAGTCAGAAGGCACGTCTCCAACTATTTTGAGATGCATGCGTGTGTGTCTTAAAATGGGACCTCTAAAATGGTAGGTTTCCCTTGGGCTTTTCCTTTCAACCAACCCCACGGAGTGCAGGTACCCTTAACTGGGCAGTTTCCATATTCACAGGGACTAGGGCTGACCCACCTGAGCCGACCCCCTTGATTAAGGGGTGAATAAGTGCCCAGTACTTTGTGGATTAGCAATAGTTAGTGGGTCAGCCGGAGAATCAAGAGGACGCCCTTTCCCCGACACTGAATGAGGTCTGATCAGGTCGGCGAGGTGTGCGTTGAGCATCTTTCAGTTTTTTCAGCGACATAGCAACAGGGACAGCGTTTTCATGCAAATTCCAACGACATACGTTGACCTACAGTGTATGCAAAACCCACTTGAATGGATTTTGAGTGAATTTGAGTGTATTTTGAATGAATTGAGTGGATATGGTGAATTTTAGTGGATTTTGAGTGGATATGTCGGCTCAGGTGGTCAGCCCTAGTCCCCCTGAAAAATGAGCTTGCTTTCAGTGGAGTGTTAGGGGACATGTGCGCAAAGCTCGAGCTTCAGGTGGCGCATGGCGTGAGCGGCAGCGGGGAACAGCCGCTAATGCACGGGCCCACCTTCATGGCCAACCCCTTGGCCTGCGCCATCGCGGCGGCCAGCATCCAGCTGCTTGGTCAGGGGAGGAGATGGGAGGAGGTAATTTCCGCAAAAGATCGGACTTTGTTTTCTTGCAACCATCCTTCAGAGCCTTACTAAGCCCCATTAAAAGGGCCAAGCCACGACCAGGGGAAGTTGGTGTCACATCTACAGTCTCCCTGATCCCTCCCCGTTACCCCTCTAAGGAGTCTTCACGCGCTTTGGCCTCAAAGGAAATGCAGTTGTCCACGCAATCGGATTCTTGTCATGGGTTTTTGTTTCAAAACCATCGCCCCGGGCAAACAGATGCTTTCCGAACAGAATGGCTCACAAGAGTGCCCAACCCCTTCTCCCGCAGAGGTTGCTTTTGCAAAGCCCCTGGCAGAGCCGCGTCAATGCCATCCAGGAGACGGGGGGTGCCATATCCCCTTGGAAGCCAAGAGGAAACCATTGCCATTTTGCGAACTCTTGTTGAGGCATGCGCATATGGCCGTGAATTTTACTGGGGAACATGAATCCGCATCAACATGGCCACCAGATGGTCCCCAACTAAAACACATGCCCTGGTGGCCCATGTCCCATTTATACACACATATATATATATATAGATAGATATTTGCACATGTGTGAATTTCGATCAATTATTTGCTGCTTTCTTTCTTTACGGCTGATATGTGTATTTACTGGGGTCCTTGGCAAGGAGCAGCTGCAGCGGCAGCTGGCACCGCTCGTTGGCCGCCCGGAGGTGCAAGCGGTGCGGAGCCTTGGCGCCATCGGCGTGGTGGAGCTGAAGCGGCCCCCTAAGGACCCCAGGAAGCTGCAGGAGAGCGGAGAGAGGCGTCCTTGGAACCTTTTGTTTGGTGAGGGCATGGTTCTTGAAAAGCAAGGTTCCAGCCCTGGAATCCGGAAGCTTCGTTCAACTGCCTACGTTATCGGCTTCTGGAAAACGAACGCAAGCCCATGATGTGGATCCTTTATTTGAACCATGGCGCCCCTGTGTCATCCCAACCCAGGGGCCCGGAAGTCGTCTCTGGAAGTTTCGCATCTTTGCCTCTTGAAATATTTTTCGACAGTCCCCCCAGTTTTGGAGGCGCTCGATTTTCACTGCAGGTCAGTCCGATGTTTTTCACCTCACATGTCAGTGAGTCATTACCCATCACTCACAGCCTTGCTGGTTCCCAGTGAATCAGCGGGGGTTTTGGGGATGAACCAGGGGTTCCTTAAGGCGATTCAGTTTGGGGTCGGGGACCCTTCTGAACCAGCAAGCTACAGAATTCTTTCCGATGGCTCGTGCTGCGGCCTGTCTCATGATGCCAACGTGCGCGCATATGTCCACACCTGTCGGAAAAAAAAACCCAAAAAAACAACTACTGGGGCTGAACCATGCAGGCCCAAATGTGCTGCTCTGGCCTTATATCGCCATGTCCAGCGGACCAGTGTCAAGCAGTGCCGGCGCAATTCTTCTGACAGGAGTCTTTTGTCGAGCAGGGTGTATGGCTTCGACCATTTGGCCAGACCATTTACACAATGCCACCGCAGCTCAGCTGGAATTGACCTTGTCCTGACGTCTTGGCAGCGTTTGATCCACGCACTAATAGTTTCTTGTCTTTTTGAGACAGATGTGGGGCGCCTCACCTCGCTAAAAAGCAGACTGACAAACAAAAAGACTCGTCCATGTTCCCATGTACCTCAGGAACCGCATTCTTTGACCCTAAGATGCGTTCGGTGCTTGTCGTTGCCACTGCTGCCGAGGTATGTCATCTCTGAAGATGAGCTTTCGCAAATTACTGGCGCTATGGTTTCTGTATTGGAAGCTGGTGTAGAGCTGGCCGATTGATCGGCTGCGGCTTCTTTCCGTTCGGAGTTCCAGATCGCGTCAAAAGGACGGTTCAGGCTGTCAGCAAGGGCTGGGGCTGAGTGCAGAGTTGTCATCATTTTTGCAGCTGGTTGATGAATGGGTTGTCCCATTTAAGAGAAAATCGATTGCTTTTGAAGGACACACCTTGCCTTAATCCAACATGTGTCAAAATTGGAGGATCCCAGAAGTTGCGAAAGGGTTCCCTCAAAAACACACCCGCCAGGCTGAATGTTGATACATCCGGGGTCAATGAGGCGCTGGAACCTGGAAACGCCGCCGTCCTTTGCGGCCGCGGGGTGTGCCACTTCGAGTTGGGCAGCCATCAGGCGGGGCGCCTAGCCGCCCACTAAATTGGCCCTGTGGAGTTTCAGGAAAGCCAAACTTGAAAACCACAAACAAGAGGGACAAGACCGCATGTTTGAGAGTGTGAGAAAGGAAGGGTCGAGACCAACCATTTTTGTGGGTGTAACCTAATAAAAAGTGAGAGGCTTCTTTGATGGTCACAATGTACTGCACTAATTGTTAGTTCGCGAACTCACCGACGTGGGGGGCAAAATGAGCACCTTTGGTCCACCTCCTCGTGTTCAGGACCACCCCCAAAGACCGTCCCCCAACCCTTAGTGCAACCCCGGATTAATGCACCTTGTTGATGTATGGGGGGTGTCCCTCTACTATAGATTCATCTGGAGGGAAACACCCCCTTTCCCCTATGAATAGGATGTGTGAATCTGGGGTCGGCATTTTTTGGCCCATTGCTCATCTGCAGGTGGGAGCTTAGGTGGTTTGCGCACCCACGAGCTTCCCGCATTCACTCAAGCATAGGATTGGTTCGGGGATCGGAGCCTGCCAGGCCGCCGGGAGAGACTTCAGGCAGGCCCTAGCCTTGGCCTCAGTCCACCAAGTTTGGCCTAAGGAAGCCGAAGGGGATGTGCGATGTTTCGTCTGTGTTTTTGCGTTTTTCCAGATCCCTTATTTAAAGCCAACTTTTTGGGTTGCTCACAGGATGCCGGAACCAGGTTCGAAGAATCCAGCAGATGGGTTCAAGTCCTGTTGGGGCAAGTGCTGATTTAAAGGTGTGAGGCCCAGGGTCCATTTTTGGAATTGGGAAATGCTAGAAAATTGGAACCATACTGTAGATTATTTCATCCTTTGGTCAATCCCCCTCACAAGGCAGGTGAGATTCTGTGATTCCCCCTGACGCTGAGCCAGGGTAGCCTCTCTCAGACTGAGGCGCGCAACCCAAGAGACGCCTTTGCCAAGACTATGCTCCAGAAGGCCTGCAGCCGAAGCGAAAGCCGACATCCTTCAGGGGGTCTTTCATGGTCCCTCAAAGGATGATGAGCCAGTTTTTAAACGATCACTCAAATACCAGCTGGGTTGGAGGCTTTCCTGAAAAGCAGGCATATCCTTTAAGGAGCCCTGTAACATTTCTGGGAGGGCGTTAACAGCACCAAAAAGATCCCAAAAGTGCCGGTTTTTAAGTTGGCTCTCCCTGAGGGTGAAGGTGGGACTCTCGTCATTTGAGCTGTCAACGTGTCCATCGAGGAAGTCGGCAAAGGATTACTCTTGGGGCGGGGGGGGGGGGCATGACTTTGCACCAGTCGCAAGCTTCTAGTGCGTTCCATGGCAACGTGGGACCCTCCCACAACAGAACCTGAAAGAGGGTCCATGTTAGAGGAAATTATCTACCAGGGGCTCATTTCAGGTTCCATGTTTGTTTCTGGGAGGGTTTAAGTCACCAGCCAAATTCCCCAAAGGACCTTCATCTTAATTTTCAGGGGAGGACCTTCCAACGAAGGGGGCTTCCCCAAACCAAGACCAAAGTTGTCTTCCAAACCCCTCCGATCGTCAGCTTCCAGGGATTTAATGCACCAATCGAGGATCATGTGGGCAGCGGACAGTCCGGTCGTATCGGGTGTCCATTTCCTATCAGTTGACGGCAACCGTGACCATGACCAACACAGGGAGTTCTGACCTGTCATGAGTGACTGAGGTGTTGTCTTTAGATGGCCACGCCCACGACCAACATATGGCCATGGCCAAAACCCAACTAATTACTTGGGGTGGGTAGGGGCGGCGGTCGTGGACCAGGTAGCAGATAATGCAGACCACATTTTGTTAGGCTCTCATTGAGGGAAGCATGACCAAAGCGTGCAAGAAACTTTGAGTGCCTCCTGTACAGCCATGCCAGGTACCTGAAGTTCCTGAAGAGCAAGAAGAGCAGAGGCCGGAACTGCTACGCGGAGCTTCAGGGTGTGGACAACTGTTTTTCAGGATTTTCTGCAAACCTTCCCAGGAAGGGACCTGCATCATGGGGCAAATTGCGCGAGCAACCCCCGTGAGGAAAGTTTGTACCTTCATAGTTGTGGGAAGCATTTGTGATAGCAAAGTGGGCCATCCCTGTGCATTGTCAGTTTGAAGGGGAGCCTGCCCCAACACTTCAGTTGCCAGGCTTGGCTCTGATGCACAGGTTGCTACAGCATACTGCAGTAGTTGCGGAGCATACTGGTTGAGCCTCTCCGCGCCTCAACATGCAAATGTTAGGAGCTTGCTCTAGCATTTCGATTTGAGTTCGCCAGTATCCTACATTTGGATGATCAGCGCCCCATGTACCTGTTAGAGCGCACGAGGAAAACCCGCAGGTTTGCAAAGTAAGGAGATGACACACTTCTTCTCAGATTCTCACCGTGTCCTGCAGCTTTGAGCCATACATCGACAAGCTTGTGGGTGGAGTTGGCTCAATATACAATTTTCAGATATGCAATGGAGCGCAGGCACCCGCTTTTGAATCACACTCAGGTGCAGCAGTACTCGCAACTTCACGTAGGGGTAAGCGTGTTGGTCCGCTTCTGCTTCGTTGTGGGGCGGCGTCAAGAAGGCGTCGAAGGTCTCTGGGGCATTCCCCGTTTTTTGCTTGTGAAGTGCCCAGTGCAAATCTAGGCGTGCCATTCTTGAGGCTACCGGGCGCCGGTGTTTGGGCTGTCTGGCCAAAGGGGAACGCCTTTTTTTTACTGCGAAGGCAGCCGTACATGGATGTGGTGGCAAGCCCGATTTCACCATCGACCTCGTCGGCAGAGGAGTCTCCCGCTGCTTGTTTGATTTTGCTTGTGGCCGACAAGGTCCATTCAAGTGACTTCCTCAAAATGTTCTGAAAATGGTGCTTGAAAGGGAAGCCACAAAAAATAACAATTCCTAAAATGCAGCCGCTGAAGGGACCCAGACTTGTGGGGTGGATTTGCCAAGCAAATCCAGTTCAAATTTTCCGCCTTGGCGATTGATCATCCCTTCAAGATGCTTGCATGTGCACATCGGTGTACTGTTTAAGAGGTCTTGCGCGACATGGCAATTTGTAGCGGGGCCGCTTATACTTCTTAATTCATATCAGGTTGCTTTCGGGGTGTTGCATTTTTAGCCCTAAACCTTGATTTTCATATCAGTTTGCTTTCGGGGTGTTCCATTTTTTGCCCTAAACCTTGATCACTACTTTCTCAGTGTGTAGTGCGGGGGTGGTTAGGGGTCCCGAAGGTAGTTGCCACGGAAAGAGGAGACAGTCCCCAACACCGACATGTGTGTCCATACGGGGCCCTTGTTGCTTCCCTACTTGGTTTTCCCTAAGAATCACAAGGTGCAGCCACCATTTTTGGGGGCTTTGTCCAAAGACGCCCCTGTGCATACTCACTGCATCATGACAAGAAAAGTCTAATAGTGTACATACTAGTTATATATGTTTACATATGTGTACATGCACAAGTATAAATATATATTATGTGGATAAATGATCTCGAAGAGGTTCGTTTCTAGTTTGCCCCGAATACTGGCCTCGGAAAGGCTTTGCTTGAGGTTTGCTTGTGGCGGAAGGGAGGGTGACAAGATTGTGGGTACAAGACAGTCCCGCTTCCCCTTTAAAAGGTGAACAAATGGAGTGAGCGTGAGGAGGCGCAGGGCGCGTGCGCGCGAAAATTGCTGCTCTGTCTTTGGCTGCCGTGAGACAAGGCCCCCAATGCAAGTCAACTTGTTTTGAAGCGCCTGCAGAGGTTTTGCAAACCATGATTCCTGTCAACTGTCATTCCAGGAACAACGTGCTGGACCATTCTTCACACGGAGTGCCAAGTAGCCCCAAGGCATACGTGGGGATAGCTCGAAGATGCTCGAAGGAACGCAATTTAGCGATCAGAGAGCGAGCTGACGCTGAAGTAAGTTTGCCCGGCCCGTTTCGAGGCCGAGGCCGCGGAGGCAGAGGCGGCTGAGGCAGAGGTAGCTCAGGCAGCTGAGGCCAGGGTTGGGCGGTTCACATATGGTTCAAGCATCAATGCTGTCAATGCAACATGCTGAGCTGCTTGTGACGCTTGTGCATGCAAGCCTGCATCTGTGGTTTGCGCTTGCTTTGCTCATGTTGACCTCTTATTGAAGAAGTTGGGTTTAAATGCAACTCTGATTTGGTTTAAATGCAACTCTGATTTGTAATTCATTCTATTGGAAAGGAACACCTCTTTTCAATCCAGTTGGATTTTGAGCAGGAATAGACGACACAAGCAAGGAACTCAGAGGTCCAGGAATCGTTTTTTGCCTCGCCCCCAGCACTAGGGTATTCTATCTTGAGTTTAGAATTTACAATTCCTTGCCAAATGGAACTTTACAATTCAATTAGAGTTTCAATATGATTGAGAAGGAATAACCTAATCAGATGCACTTTCTGTTTTGAAGCGGACTTTGAATAAGAACTGTTCTATTTCAACTATCAAGTTACGGAGGATTTTCTTTCCAACAGATTTGTCTTAGAGAAGTCAAGTTTTTTGTGTCCTTAGGGTTTGTTCACTTCTTTAGAAACTTAGGAATGCATTGGAATGGCTAAATTTACAGTAAGCACATCCCCCACACACAACAGAAACACAGGTCCAAAGCAACAAAAACGAGTGCACTGCAACAGTCCCATGTTCGCTTGTGCTTGGTGGCCAGGGTCTGGAGTTGTGACCTACGGCGTAGGCTAGCCTTCAGACGTGTGCCATGTTGGGGGCTCATGGAAGAGGAAATCGGTGAGCCCCGGGAAGTCGCAAGAAAGTAGGAAGTCGCAAGCGTCAAATTTACCCTTGTTACGTATTGCGATTTGTTGCGATTTACTTCCGATGTTTTTTTTTGACGATATTCCATGATTTCCGGCACCCCTGCCTTCGGGTGGGAGAAGTTTGCGTTTGGGGGGGGGCTTAACGTGTAAACAAAACGGAATCAGCCATAAATGTTGCGGACATCGTATTGAGATCGTATATGCCAATCGTAAAAACAAGTTACTGAAACGATAACAAACCAAGAAAACGCCAGGCAGACAGCGTAGGTCTCAATCTGTTTGGTTTTTTTGCCACGTTTGTTGCAACCAGTGCTCCAGGCTTCGGTGTGGCCGCCTCCGATGTCGCTGGTACCCCCTCACATCGTGGCGGCCTGGAGCATCCAGGCACGTTCTCGGACAAATCCGGTTGAAAACATGGCTGCGGGAAATGTTAGTTTCGGTTGCCGTGGTTAGCATTTTCTGCGAGACCATGTAGGTAGCACATAGACGAAGTCGGCAGTCACCATGGGCCTGTGGAATTTGATGGAAATTGACGCGCCAGGAAAACCAGGACCTAAGGGAAAGACAAGAGGATGCCTTGGTTCAAAGCTATGTTTGGTCATGCAAAGCCATGGTGGGCAGAACGCATGTTTGGGGCATCAACTTCTTATAGTCCCTGGCACAGAGCCTCCAAATTGTGCTTCAGTTGATCAAGGCGTCATCTAGCGATGACTTTGTTCTTGTTTTTGGTGATTCGCGTTCTTTTGGTTTTTGTCCAAGGTGTGTGAAACAAACTTATGGTTTGGGTAAGGGTTGGCAACCTTCCGACACAGCACGAGCTAGCACTTTGCATCATTTTATTTCAAGCGCAAGGGTGCTGTTCCTCCAGATTATCCCTCCGGCCAGGCTTTGTGGAAGGTCGCGCTAGTTGGCGGGGGAGGCTTAGGGCTTACTCCTCGCTCAAATCGCAGTATATCCAAGCAGCAAACAAATAAATGTTGTTTTGCAGAGGTCATCCGGAGCGCGGTTGGAGGTTGTTCAGGGTTGGCCAGAGATCGCTCGGAGTTCGCCAGACTTCGGCCGTTCTGTTGGTTTCCGTTGCCCAAACCCTTCCAAAACCACCCGAGCAAGCTCCGCGCGGCCACAATCTTTGGCTTCGGTCTTATCTCTCGTTCCGCACGCGCTCCGGCCGAACTTTGGCCTACTTGGTTTGTCTTGGTTAACTCTGGTTCTGGACAAGCCTCGAACGAACTCCAAACCAACTTGGCGCAATTGCAAACAAACTCCGAACGAACCTTGCTTGGCCATGCTTGGCCTCAATGTTGCTGATTAAATCTAGTCCCGGACGAACTTCGAGCGAACCCGAACGAACTTTGGCCTTAAGTTTTGTTTGGGGTTAATTCTCACCCCTATTTTCAAAGTGCAGGCAGCCGAAGCCATGGTGCAGCTTGCGGTGCCGGCGGGGTGCAATTTGGACGACCCCTCGAGCGAGGCGGGTTGCCAAATTTGTGGCCTGATTTTGGGCCGACTTTCCGAGCAGGGAGAAAACAGCGAAACAGGCCCCTAGTTTCCCACTCACGCAGCGAGGTACGATCGCCGAAGTTCTCGATGCAGGAGGAAATGGAGGCAGGACACTACGCACGCACATCTCTCTGACGTCACTGCCGTGACTTCGTGAGACCATGGGGCGGCTCGCGTTCTTGCGTATTTTTGCATACATGAGCCGGGTGTCATTCCGCTTTCCACCCCTTTTCTGTGTTGCGGAAACCAAGTCCAGTGCCGCAATTCCCTTCCCTTCTCCCTGTATTCAATTATTCGAGGGGGGCGTGTTCCTTGCGATGTTGCAACGGCATTTTTGCAAATTACCTCCCCGTCAAACGAATACTTTGCTTCCCCTCATGGAATTCGCGTTGCACCACCCCCCTCCCCCGCCCAAGAATACATCGAGGGCGACGTTGCTCAATATCTCCCCGCTCCCTGAGTTAACATATTCGGGAGGGAGGGGGGCGTGTCCCCACTCCCTGGCGCCCAATCTTCGAAAGGGGGGTGTCCTTTGCGAGGATATGCCCCCTCAAACCTTCGCCTTAAGGATCGAATTGAGCCGCACCTTGCTTAAGGGCACCTAAGTCTATCATCAGAATCCCCCGCAACGACTCGTGGCAATCGCTACGGGCTCGCAGGAATGGTCGCTGGCATCAGTGGACACGCAGGTGCTTCAGGGCAGCTTCCCGCCCAAGGGGCAAAATGCGACACCGGAGACCCCCAAAGCGCCGGCGGACGCGGACGCCAGCGCCAACCTGACATTCCAGTCGAGCGTGTCCGCGAAGCTCGCGAAAGTGCCAGCGAGGGCGCCAAAGAGAGCGAGCAAAACGGAGCCACTGCCGCAGTGGGGCGCCCAGCAAGGGTTGGCAAATTTGAGGATGTGTTTGGTGTGGATGCTTGGGCGAGCACAAGAAACATCCTGGTTTCAGGTTAGACAAGCTTGATTCTAGATAATGTTGACCCCGTATTAGTATGTAACCCCCCCCCCCCTCCCCCCTCGAAGGTCGGGAAGGTTTTGGGGGGGAAGACTTTTTGCCACCCCCCCTAAATAATCTGGAGTTGAGTTTCCATTTGTTTAGTATTGCTGGAGCTCCCTTTTGAGATCTGGAATTGAGTTTCCATTTGATTTAGTATTGCTGGGGCTTCCTTTTGAGATCTGGAATTGAGCTTCCCTTTGATTTAGTATTGCTGGGGCTTCCTTTTGAGATCTGGAATTGAGATTCCAATTGATTTAGTATTGCTGGGGCTTCCTTTTGAGATCTGGAATTGAGCTTCCCTTTGATTTAGTATTGCTGGGGCTTCCTTTTGAGATCTGGAATTGAGATTCCAATTGATTTAGTATTGCTGGGGCTTCCTTTTGAGATCTGGAATTGAGTTTCCCTTTGATTTAGTATTGCTGGGGCTTCCTTTTGAGATCTGGAATTGAGTTTTCCTTTGAATTAGTATTGCTGGAGCTTCCTTTTGAGATCTGGAATTGAGTTTCCCTTTGATTTAGTATTGCTGGAGCTTCCTTTTGAGATCTGGAATTGAGTTTCCATTTGATTTAGTATTGCTGGAGCTTCCTTTGGGGGGTGGGGCCGATGGACCGCACTAATTAGGGGGGGATTATTAATTGGGGGTGTTAGGGGCCAATGTGGGGTGCTCTTTGAAACCTTCTAAACTTGATTTGTTTAGTAAAGAATTTAATAAGAAATCGACAATCTCAGAACACTTTTTGTTTTTGTGGTTTGGGCAGGCCCAAAAGTATCCACCAAGCTTCAAGATGAGAGTAGGAGGTGGAGATGAGAGCCCTAAGCAAGGCAGCAGCATGAAGAGAAAGGTACCAGAAGAAAGCATGAGCCCATTTGAGACAAAGCACCTTTTCAGCACACCATTCAGAGAAAGCATGGCAAGCAGCATGAGTCGATTCAACATCAGCAGCATCAGCTAGCACCAAAAAACAGTTTACATTGTAATGAGCTCAAGAAGCAGTGGAGAAAATGAGATAGCAGCAGCCATCTGGGGGAGGGACCGGTCTAATTGGGGGGGGTTGTTTTGCAGCATTTTTTATTTGGGGTATTTTCTGAGATATGAATTGTTTAGTATTGGGGGGGTCCACCCGGACCGGACTAATAGGGGGGGGATTATTAATACAGGGTCAACATTATTGCTGTCAGTTTTGGGTAACTTTGCGGGTTTAACCCAAGTCACCAACAACTCACTAAGTAGATTTACCAGCGGGCAGTTCCCCGATGAAGACTTGATCGTTTGTTCCGCCCGAGGCGCTCGAGCAGCCGGCTGCAGGCGTGATTAGGGCCACGTGATTTACAAGAGATGTTCCCAAGAACTGCCTCCCCAGCGAAATGGCAAAGAACCCAAAAGCCCACCATGTTCAGAGGGACCCTCTTTATGGGTCATGTTCAGTTGCGGCTTGTGCTCAGCTAGCCTGCCTGCCTGCCTGCCTGCCTGCCTGCCTGCCTGCCTGCCTGCCTGCCTGCCTGCCTGCCTGCCTGCCTGCCTGCCTGCCTGCCTGCCTGCCTGCCTGCCTGCCTGCCTGCCTGCCTGCCTGCCTGCCTGCCTGCCTGCCTGCCTGCCTGCCTGCCTGCCTGCCTGCCTGCCTGCCTGCCTGCCTGCCTGCCTGCCTGCCTGCCTGCCTGCCTGCCTGCCTGCCTGCACGCACGCCGCGCGCTCGCCTGCCTGCCTGCCTGTTTGCCTGTCTGCCTGCTTGGCTTCCTTCTGCCTGCCTGCATGCCTGCCGCTTCCTTCCTTCTTTCTTTCCCTCCCTCCCTCCTTCCTTTCTTGATTGCTCCGTTCGTTCTCCTCCCTTTCTCTCCACCCCTTCTTCCCTGCCTTCCTCCTGCTCCCTTCCTCCCTTCCTCTGTTCTTCGCCTTCTCGCTTTCTTGCTTTTCTCCTTCTGCTCCTTGTCTTCCTTCTTCCCTGTCCTTTCCTTACCTTTTTTACACTTCTCTTCTTCCGTTCTTCCCCTCCTCGCTGCCTCTCTTTCTGCTCCTCTTCTTCTGTTCCCGCAACACTTGTAGAATGAAGTCTCAAAAAAAACACACCGTTGGAAAACGATAGGGGGCTTTCAAACTAAGCGAAACGGCCGCAAGCAAGTGCGTGCCTGTGTGAGAGGCAACAGTTGCAGTAGAACTACTTTCCGTGAGTGGCCGGGGGAAGAATTTTCAAGTACTAGCGCAGTCGTACGGCTGGGAGTCAACCACCATGATTCACATATGAGATGCGATCCACGCTTCCAAACCACCAGCCCCAGCGTAAGCTGGGGAGACACCGTTCTTACAGTGGCTGCGTAGTGGCTGCATATCCCATGCAGCCCCTGGGTCCCGATGGTTTGGGGGCGCTGGAACTCTTGGAGTCACGGGAAAGGATGGCTTCCGACACATGGGTTCCTTTCGAGTGCTCTTAAAGTCCTTTGGTGCCAGCTGCAACCCATTTTTCATAACCTTTTTTCCCCTGAAATGTGCGGTTTTCGCAATGGAGATGATCATATTGTACATGACCCCTTCTCTTTGCCCAGGCCAAAAAGGCCCTGGCTGAGGACAGGGTGGGAAGCGGAAAAGCCACGGTTCTCAGGGTGTTCAAAAGCTTTCTTGCGGTAGGAGCGCGAGATTGGGAAAAAAACCTTTTGACCCCCAATGCCCATTGAGCCAAAGGTAACATGGAGTTCACACGAAGGTTTGGGCCCTGGGCAACTTGTTTACAGGTTCGGGCGCTTCGCAGCCCCGCAGATGGCGCTTGCAGAGGTGACGTGCCCTTTGCATTAGGTCCCGACCCCCTTTTGTGAAAACATCTCAACCCGTTTGTTCACTCACGGGCCGCCTGTGCCCAGCCGATGGCGGCCTATGGGTGTGGCTGTTTTGGAGGCTACTCCTTGTTGAGGTTTTTTGAAAGGGAATTAACGGGAAGACGCGCACCCGCATTTCTGCCAGGCTGTTCCAAAGACGCAGCCGAAAGCCAAGGCGCCCCCCGCGCCCCATGTGAGAGTGTTTTTTCAATGTGGAGGTGTGTATCAATTTGGAAGCTGGAGGCTGGAGGCCTGGAATCATATTCAGGGATTTCCCGTAGCTTCCGGGTTAGCTTTGGAGTTTACTTTGGACGCATGGATGCGGGGCAAGAGCCGAGTTCCCACCCGGAATGCCAGGGAACAGCACCCGGGTTCCCCATATGTCCATTGCGGGCTCCGCACGTTGCAGGGGATCCGTTCAACAGGTTCAATGAGTTCCAGCACCAAAAAGGGCAGTCATGCGCGTAATGTCCAATCGGGATTAGTCCCCCCCCACCCCCCAACAATGGGGGCACCTGGAATTGTATCTTGAGATCCAGTTCATGAGCTTCCATTTGATTTAGTATTGCTGGAGCTTCCTTTTGAGATTTGGAGCTGAGTTTCCTTTCTCTCCTTGGCTGGCTGGGAGGGGGCAGGAGGTTTGGAGACATGAACAACCACAGTAGCAAAAAGGAAGGTAGCAATGCAAAAGGTAGGCAGAAGTTGCATCTTTCAGGGGGGGCCATGCATCAATACTTTATTATAGGGGCCCCTGGAATAAAGCCTTGGGCTGAAAATTTGGGGGCTTGAAGTACTACCCCCTTTGTGGGTTTGATGAATGACAATTTTTAAAAAAGAGACATGTAAGAAAACTTGAGTTTGGGCAAGGTCTGCAGTTTGGATTTTGGGGAAAAAGCAACAAGCTTCACCAGCATCAGCATCACCTGGGATTTTGTGTGAAGTTGGCTAGGTAATTAATTAGTTAGCTAAGAGGTAACTGCATTTAGGAAGTTGCATCTTTCAGGGGGGGCATGCATCAAGACTTTATTATAGGGGCCCCTGGAATAAAGTCTTGGGCTGAAAATTTGGGGGCTGAAGTACTACCCCCTTTGTGGGTTTGATGGATGGCAGTTTTTAAACAAGAGACATGTAAGAAAACTTGAGTTTGGGCAAGGTCTGCAGTTTGGATTTTGGGGAGAAAGCAACAAGCTTCACCAGCATCAGCATCACCTGGGATTGTGTGTGAAGTTGGCTAGGTAATTAGCCAAGAGGTAACTGCATTTAGGAAGTTGCATCTTTCAGGGGGGGCATGCATCAAGACTTTATTATAGGGGCCCCTGGAATAAAGTCTTGGGCTTAAAATTTGGGGGCTTGAAGTACTACCCCCTTTGTGGGTTTGATGGATGGCAGTTTTTAAACAAGAGACATGTAAGAAAACTTGAGTTTGGGCAAGGTCTGCAGTTTGGATTTTGGGGAGAAGGCAACAAGCTTCACCAGCATCACCTGGGATTGTGTGTGAAGTTGGCTAGGTAATCAATTAGTTAGCTAAGGGGTAACTGCATTTAGGAAGTTGCATCTTTCAGGGGGGGGCATACATCAAGACTTTATTACAGGGGCCCCTGGAATAAAGTCTTGGGCTTAAAATTTGGGGGCTTGAAGCCAAAGCTGCACTTTTCAGGTGCTCAAAGTGCAGGTACACAGCCTGCTTAGTTTGCTGCCCAGAGAAAGCTTTGAGCTACTGGGTGAGGAAAGAAGCAGGTGCCAAGAGCAAGGTGCCAAAGATCCAAGGACAAGGGGTGGCTATCTCTCCTCTCCTTCCTGTCCTTTCTCTCTTTCTCTCTTCTTTTTGAGACTTTTTTGCGATATTTTTTTGGGGTACATTTTTTTTCATGGGCGGGGGGGGGGGAGGGCAGGGGCTTGTCTTTATTCTA